TCGCCAACCTCGCCAGCACCCTCCTTGGCGCACGTGCATCGCCGGGCCTCGCAGGCGTCTGATGAACAATTGTACAATAAAAAAATTTTTCCCTGCTCCACGACATCCCGCAGCAGATTTGTGAATACATCCGACAACTCCGCTAGTTCAGTTGTCGGCGGGTACTCCGATGCGGGGTACACGAAGCGCTGTGCCAACGACCTGAGTAGCATTTGTTGCTTGGCCTCAATGGCGCTCACAATACCCATCGCCCGCTGTTTCGTTGCCTCGCCGTTTTCCTTCTTCGCATTCCTCGACTCGCGTTCCACGTTCCTTCGCTGCATCCCCAGCTCGAGCAGCGCGTGGATGGAATTCATTGAAAAGTGGCCAGGACCGTGGGACCCGGACAATCCGTGATAACACGTGTAACCGCCCCCTCTATGAGCGTTAGTGAGTGAATAAATGCACTCAAAGACAACTTTTGCGGCAAAATAAAAAAAAAGAAAGAAAAGGACATGCATAAATAAATTAATTCATTTATTTATTTACATGAGAAGGAAACACATATATGTGGATACGCACTCATGCATGTACAAAAAAAAAAAGGTTACAGGAGCAGAAAAGATGCCATCCACAATGAGAGCCATGCACCACCTTCACTTCGCTACACCCGTGAAAATCGCACGCAAGCATGCGCAGCAGCGGCACTGCGGTCGGCATTCATCCAGCAATAAAGTGGCGGAAAGACAAAATCAACCAAAAAGAAAATGCAGCCACACACAAACAAACGGAAGGAGAAAAAAAAAGACAAAATCACTTCCATCGGCACTCAAAAAGAGGCCCCTCAGCACCGTTCCATCCGTCGCGCCGTAAACTGTCGGCCCCAAAAACTTCAAAAAAAAAAAAAAAAAGAGTAAAAGAAGAACGGCAAGTGTGGCATGCGTAGAGGATTTAAACCGCACCAAAAAATGTACCGCGCGCTTGCGGCACAAGGAATTCCCCAATCGGCGAGAAGAAAGGGCAAGGTCGCAAGCCGCCTGCACAAGAACAGGCAACCACCCAAGCAAATGATATCAACGTCCGGCAACGCAAAAACAAGAAAAAAAAAGACTGCAAATAAGCAGCGGCAAAAAAGCCCCCGTACTGAGTAGCTTGAAAGCCCCACACAGCACGAAGCCCATACCTTTCGTCAAGCCAAAAGCAACAGCATGCCCCCGTGCATGCAGGAAATATCCGTCCAATACACGTAGTCAAGACAGTACACACGCAGTTATGCAGCAGCGTGCGTAATGTAAGCGTACAGTCCAGAAATGAGTTTCGTGCAAAAAAAAAAAGTGAAGGTGCGACTCCCAGTAACGCGCCGTCGCCGAACCGGTGCAGGGACCCAAAGCCAGTAACTTTTGCCGCCGCAGAAGTGGCCAGGCATCCAGCGGCGTCTCGTCGCCTACAGGCCACACAACAGCAGGGACGTCGAGGTCCGTCTGCATGCACTGGAAAATCACCGTGCGGATGTCGGCTGTCACAGCGGCGAATACCGGCTGCATGGGGTCCAGCCTCACCCCAAAGCCAACCGTGTGGCTGCGCGATCACAATGCAGTCACCATCCCGGCCTTGTAGGCCTTGATTGAAGTGGCCAACAACGAATCATTCGTGCACATATCGTGCCGAGCAACTTTTCATTTGGTTGCTACGCCTCCACTCACTTAAAGACACACACCTGTGGCAAACATAAGCAAACAAAAAAAACGCCCAGGCTATTTGAATTTGTTTGTCTCGCATGAATCATGAGATTGTGAAGCCACCTATCGTCGTAAAAGCCTCAATTTGTACCTTTTCTTTCCCCTTTTATTTTCCCCACAAAAAATGTAAAGAAAAGGCAAAAATATATGCAAATGTATACAGGTTTAAATAATTAATTAATTAACTGCTGTATTGGCATTTAAAATTACCAATTTTCCGTGTTTTTGCCTGCATTCTGTAGTTGTTTGCGTTGTAAAGGGGGGAGGGGGAGGGGGGATAAAAAAAAATATACTATCCATGTATAAATATGTATGCATGTATACACACATGGAGAAACAAAGGTAGGGCAAGAAAGAAACATTTTCTTCCCATAAAAAAAAAAAAAATTTATTTCTTTTTTCAGAGTCCCGTCCAGTCGTGTAATCTTTGCTCCTTGTCTCCTCCCCATATGAGGCCGGATGCAACTGCCAATGCATGCGCCGCAATGGGAGGGCGGTGCGTGATGCTCCCTTCCTGTTGTTCCGCCCCTCTCCCCCCGAATTTAAAAGGAATTGTTGGGCCACACCGTCACACCGCCATAAAATGGCATAGAAGATTCCAAAATAAAATACGTTGCAGAGGCCCTGTTTCTCTCCTTTTGATTTTTCTTTTCCTTTTTCTTTGCTGCCGTTGGCCTCGTCTCGATGAACGGGGTGCTCCTGAACTTTTTTTTTTTGTTTTTCCCCCGTGCGTGTTCACGCAGGCGCAGATGGATGCCGTGCGGGAATGCATGCCGACGGGGATGACCGAAGCAGAAGTCTCCGGCCAAACACGAGGACGAAAAAAAAAAGTAGCTTCCACACATGATGACGACACGCGGTGCCGTATTTTGTGAGTGCCGCCAAAAGTGTCGTGGCCCACTTGGAGAATCCACTCGCTGCCGGCGGGGCTTTAGAAATATTTGCGTCGCGCTCATCAGCCGGCGGCGGTGGCGGCCGCTCCACCAGCGGGGTGCTGTCCCCGCATGCCACGTCGGTTGTCCCCGCGCGGTGGTTGTCCCTGCTGGAGCCGCTTTCCGTATTTTCGTGGCGCCTTGGCTGCTCCGCCACGGCCTGGTTGAGCCGCATCGCCTTCAGGGCGCGGTGTGTCTTGTACACCTCCTCCTGCTCCCGCAGCTGCTGCACCTCCACGGAAAGCCGCTTGGCGTTCTCATCCGCTTCCAGCAGCATGGCGTAGTCGTCAAGGAGTTGATTGGAGTTCTCCTCGAGTTCCTCGTCAAGCTCAATCGCCTCCACTAACGCCGCTGTCGCTTTTGCATGGCCGCCGTGCCTGCGCTGACGTCGGTTGTTTTTGCCCTTTCGGCCCTTTTGCTCGTTTTTCCCGCACTGCGTCTCTCCCTCTGCTGGCGGATGGCCCACTGCAGCATGTGTGGCGGTCTCCACGTGCTGTTGTGTGCATCCGTCGTCCTCACCGTTGCTGTGATGATTATTTTTGCTCTGGAGACGAGCCTCCACCTCATCGGCAAACATCACACGGCGAGTATGCTGTGTGGCATTGTCGTCATGGGATGTGTTGGGTTTCGTCCCAACAGTGTCCATGTTGAATTCTTCTCCCTCCCGGTATGTATGCATGTATGTATGTATCTATGCAAATTATCCCACTTTATTCCTAAATGCCTGTTGGTCTTTCTTTTTATTTTATTTTTCCTTTTCTTTTTTTTTTTTTTCTTTTTTGCTCCGCTCCACAAATCTCGTGTGTCTCCGATAGTTTCCCTGCTGCAATTAAAACACACAAAATAAAAATAAAAATAAAAATAAATTAAGAAAAAAAGAAGGCCACTCATATGTGTCACAGCATCCATATGTATACAACATACATGCATGTTGTAAAGCCATGTCGACAGCGGCCTCTCCCTCCTTTTCTGCCGCGGAGATGCACACAAAGAAAAAGAAAAATAATAATAAAACCGAGACGTTGAAGCGGCGTTGATGTAAAAAAAAAAAAAAAAAGAGGAGGAATAAAAAGTGGGCTCACAACACGCACACATACAAAAAAAAAAAAGAAAAAAACTATGAAAAAAAAAAAAAAAAGAAAGTGATTTGTGTATACTACAGTCAAACATATACATATATATATACATGTGTATGCACATATGCACCGAGTACATTACTCCTATAAATGGTGAATACGTTCACTTGTGTCTTTTGTCAAAAATAATAAATAAATAATAAATAAATAATAAATAATAAATAATAAAATACCGTTTGGGATGTCTTCTACACGTTCACTTCGCCCATTCCACCCATCGCTAAGATGATTCCCCCGGTAAACACCCAATTTACGGTAAAACTGACACGCACATGGACGTAAAGCCTATAAGGCACATAAATATATACATATACATATATATATATAGGCACACAAGAAAAACAAAAACAACAAAAACAACAACAACTAAAAATAATAATAATCAACGCCTCACCAGTCAATTAATTATTAATAATTTTAAAAAAAAGAAAAAAAAAAGGAAGAGAAAAAAAGGAAAAGAAAAGGAAAAACACAATTACATTTTCTCCATCATGTCATTATAACCGCATAAATATTTATGCAGCAGCCAATCGAGTGTTCATGATGATTCCTTTTATTGTCTACATTTCATGAAAAGTACCACAAAAACAAAAAACAAAACAAAATAAATAAATAAATAAATAAATAAATGAAAATAAAACGGTGGGAAGAGTGCAGGTCCAAATAAAGCCTCCCACCCCGCCCTCCACGTGTGTGTGGGAGGAGAGGTGTGTAAGCGACTAAAACTTTAGTTTTGAAATGGAAATTATACAACGATGAATTGGACAGACACACAAAAGAAAAAAAAAAGAAAAAAAAAGTACTATTGAAACATGTTTACCAAAAACACATGCATATACATATATATATATATATAGAATGATAACAATGAAAGGTCTTCAGTAATTGTCCTACCGGCATGTAAAGAGGCACACGCAGACAACTCCCACACACACACACACAGACACAGACACAGACAAATTGTGTAAATTATGTGGGAGAATTGCCCCATGGATGTCACTGTTTCTCTTCTTCTTTTTGATGAGGGGGAGAAAGAAGAGGGGGCTGCTTGAGTCCCTCCTTCGCCAGAGACAATCCACTTGTTCCTTAATTGGGGTCATGCCGACTCCCTCTTTCTCGCCCTCTTAGCTTTTACAGCACTCAGTAATAAAAAGCACCCATTTCAATTCAAATGGAGGTGCCATGCGATCCACTGTCCTCATTCACCAGTCCTTCTATTCCCTTTCCCATCCATAGTCAGAGAATTTATAGCCACCATCGCAGCCAAACTCACCATCCTCATCATCATCGCTTGTCGTAGTGGACGAGTCTGGAAAATGCTGACGCAGCCGGAAGACGTTGGTTATTGGGCAGAACATCTTGTTGGGATCCGGTGCGTATTTGTGGGAAGTTGGGCGATAAATGCTGGACAAACTCAAAGAGGCGTATTGATCCATAGAAAGACTATGGCGCTGCAGACTCTTCTTCGTCTCCTGCCCCTGATTGTCGTCAGCGTCTTCTACATTTTGCCAGCCGCCATCCTGCTGCGGTATGGGCAACGTGGAATGCTGATTAAATACCTCTTTGTTGTGTGGAGAACAAATGATCGGTGACTTCATCGGCACAACTTGAGGTACCGCCGAGGTGCGTCTACTACGCCGCACGTCGTTTGTCACGTCCCCACCCTCGTTGTTGTTGTCGCTACAAGCAAAACAGTCTTCTCTCTCCAAGATAAAAACGACACCACTGGAAAAACGATGCTCCCGTTCGACCTTGTACGGCCCGGGGTAGAATCCCTCAAGCAAATCCTCTTCACCGGTGCTCTCACTGACAGTGGAACCCTCCGTGTGCTTTTCCTTCTGCTTG